AAATATCTATAGTGCAGGCAATCTTGGATATTGATTAAAAGGAGATCCAGTCATTTCATGTTTCAGAATTGTAGGTGGCAAGATGGAACTTAAAGAGCCTGAGACTAGTGTTTCCTCCAGGGTGGAGGCATCTCTTCCCACTTCATAGGGAGAAGGCCTGCAGGAGAGAGCCTGCACATTTTCAACAGTAAATTGAGAGTCTCAGCAGAAGGCTCAGAACTTTGTACTGTAAAGCATGGAAGCGAGAACCCTGGTGAGACTCTGGGGACTATAGTTCCCAGTATTCCACATTACCATAAAAAGACCTCAACACGACTACTGGAGAACATTTGATCTGGAACAGGACCATGGGCATATGTCTGATCACAAGAGATTTAAATATGGTAACTAAATCATACAGCTCCCCATTCCCCAGTTCCAGCAAGAGTTTAAAACTATGTTTTTATATCATAGGTGCTTTTGTCCTTCTGAGAAGGCGACTAGGAACAGATGACTGTACCATGGCTCAGACAATGTATTTTCCTCTCGCTGACATTTCACTGCAAATAGCATTTTCCGTGGTCCATTCCACAGGGACTTTTTTCTTTTTGGAGTTCCATGGTTCCTCAAGGTCAGAGTTTTCAACAGTTATAGGCTCTGTGGCCCTCATCTGATTTGTAGGAAATATGTGAGCAACTTCAGACCAAATGCCAAGGATGGCAAGCTGATCCCAAAGTGACAGCAAAGCTTCCTTCATTCCTACCTTCATAGGAGCTACTCATCTCTTCGTTTTTAAGATTTTCTAGGTGAGTCAGTTAATGGACTATGTCTCCTTGATTTATAAGCAAACATATTAGACCTTCTTGACAGTTCTCACTGAAAGCTCTCTCTCTTGACTTTCTGAACGACTCCACAGCACAGCTAAGTTTAAAGTAATCTTCACATAGCTTCTCTCCTAACTTGTTTTTAATCTTTAATGTGGATAAGAGGTCAAGACTCATGTATCCACTCTGAAATTTTTGCATGGTGGTCTGTTTAGAATAAAATAAGTAAAGAATTCTTTCCTCAGCTAAAATTTTGATGGAAGAGTCCCACTTAAATATTCTATCATATATATGCATAGAAAATCTCTGGGAAGACTGGTAAGAAATTGGCTTTCTCTGGGAAGAGGGATGGGGAGACAGGCATGAGACTGTACATACTTACACTGTATATTCCTTTTTACTGTTTGGATTTATCATGTGCATGTATTTTTTAAAGATATTTGAATAAATTTAAAAAATCAGAAATGAAAGATAAGAAATCCTGCTTAAATAGACATTTATATCATGTTCTTGGTTGGGACGACTTATTGTTGTAAAACTGTTTAGCCCTCCCACAATTATCTATGAATGTAGTGCAATTCCAATAAAATTCCAGCAAGATTTTTTACAGGAGTTTGACAAATGAATGTCAGAATATATATGAATAAATAAACCTCCACAAACTCCCTAATTTGAGAAAGAGGAGGGATTCACCTACCAAATATTAACATGTGGTAATGAGCCAACAAAACTTAAAAACTGTATTTCAGGTAAGGGACAGACAAAACGAACAAGGGAACAGAACAGGAAAAGGTGCATGAGGGTTGAGTCAAGTCATAGGGAAAAAGGATTATTTAATGGATCATGGAAAAATGGTTCACTTCACAGAAGAAAAAAATAAAACTTTGTCTCTACCATACACCATATACAAAAATAAATCCCAGTTGGATTAAAGGTGTAAAAGATCAGAAAATATTAAAAAGAGGAAAGTTTCTTTAAAATTTCTTAAAACAAGCCTCTCAATTCACAAATGGATACATGAATACACCAAAAATTAAGTAGTTTTGTTCAAAGAAAACATACTGGCAATGTTAATACATAGCTAACAGACTGGGAAGAGATATTTATAGTGTTTAAAATCAATAAGGGGGAAAATAGCTACAGAGAAATTATGGAAACCAGTAAGAAAAAAATAGGAAACCCTACAGGAAAATGGTCAAAGAATTCTCATAAAGATTCTCAACCTCACCAGTAATCAAATCCAAAGTGAAATACTTACGTGTTTTTTTTACCCAGTAAACTGACCAAGATCCTAATCTTGGAAGTTGGATCGAACCAAGTGATGGTGAGGATGTACAGAAGAAACACCCCAAATGTTGCTAATTGAGTGTTAACTGGTGAGGCCCTTTCCAAGATGAATTTGGAAGTATTACAAGAAAGTGATAAAGTCCACATGCTATTACCTAGTAATTTCATTCCTAGATATACCCTAGAGAAAATTTTAAATGGTTCACAGGGTAACTTCACAAGTACTCACTGTTGTGTTGTTTGTGGTGGCAAGGCTGGAAGCAATTACTATTATCCAATAATGGAGAATACTAAACATTTCTCATAAGTTGTAAAAATGCTAAATATATTGCAATAGTTAAGCAAACAAGTGTCACTTTAAGAAGAAGACTCTTCTCTAAAAATCTAAATTTATACAACAAACAAAATGAGAATTTTTATTATTAAACAATTCTTTTAATTTATATCAGGATAATGGAAAAACTTTTATTAGACGCCAGAATACCTGACTCCACCATTCAGGAGCTATTAAACTTGGGGCTAGAATCTAGCCTAGATACTTAATCTAGTCAAGCCAGTTCCTTCATCTGTGAAATGCTGTCTGCTTCAGTGTCAGTGTGAAGAATAAGCGTGAAAGTATTTTGTGAAATATGAAATGTTATAAACAAAAACCTAAGGATTCATTAAAATTACCCTTTTGATGTAAAGTAGCAACTCCTTTAATATTTTTTAAATGGATTTATAAGAACAGAATTAACACATGACTAAAAAGGAAATGTGCTATAATACAGAAAACTCTATTTCTGGGTCAATTACTTTCAAGCACAGTAGGAGGTAGAATATATATATATTAAAACATTCTGGATAATGTAAAGATAGAATGAGAGTAGGCTATGGGAAACTCCTATTTTCTCTTTAGAATAAACTCATTACTTCTTGAACAATTTTTAGAATTCCATTTTAACTGATTAATTTTAGCGAAACTTTTAGGATTGTGTGTGTGTGTGTGTGTGTGTGAGTGGTTGTCCTATGGTTTACAATACACATCCTTAACTTTTCAGAGTTTTCTAAAAAATATCTACTTATTTATTTAGCTGTGTTGGGTCTTAGTTGACACAACTCATGTAGGATCTTAGTTCCCAGACCAGGGATCAAACCTGCATCCCCTCCATTGCATGGCAATCTCTTAACCACTGGACTGCTGGAGAAGTCATAACTATCCAGTGTTTTTAAAGTTATATTGTAGCACTTCACATAAAATAGAACACTAAAAATTGCATGCCTCATTCTCTCTTTTCCTTCTAGAACCCTACATGTTAGATCTTTTGGTATTATCTGATATAACAGGTCCCTGAGGTTCTGCTCATTTTTTCATTTGATAGCAATTTTCCTCTCAGATCTTCAGAGTGAATAATTTCTATTGATCTGTCGACAAATTCACAAACACTTCCTTCTGTTCTTAAGGCTATCCAGTGTAAATTTTATTTCAGACATTATACTTTTCAGTACTACAATTACCTTTCAGTTCTTTAAAAATTTCTATACTCTTCTGAGATTTTCCATATTTTCATTCATTACAAGTATGCTTTCTTTTAAGTCCTGAGCACAGTTGTGACGGCTACTTTAAAATCCTTGTGTTGAATTCCAACAGCTGATTCATTGTGGGGCTAATTCACCATTGAACTAGGTGTAGGGGTTACCTTTGCCTACTTCTCTGTATGTCTAGTAGTTTTAGATACTATCCTGGACATAGAGAATGATGTACTTTACAGATCTCACTTCTGTTATGTTCTCTGAAGAGCAGCAATGTCTTTTTGTCTTTGTATACAGTGGACTTGGCTGAACTCAAACTCTTAAGCCAGTGCAGTGTTCTTGGGTTTATCCGGGCTGCTTGCAGTGCACCTTGCACACAGGTAGGTTAGGAGTTAGCCAGAGACGTGGGCAGTTTCTACACAGACTTTAAGGCTTCCTCTCTGTGGCTTTCTTCTTTCTGGGATTTCTCCTCCACTTTCCATTTTTTGTTGTTTTAATTGCCTCTTCTTCATCTCTTTGGTGAGGCAAGGATTCTATAACCCTAGGTTATGGCCTGACACATGACACGAAGTCATGAGACTGATGGCAGTTTAGAGTCAGTCACACGTACTCAGAGCCTGGGGGAGGATACACCATTCAGGGCTTGCAAGGAACTGAAGCCTGCCACATGGGGATAGGCAGGAAACGTACCTGTCCTCAAAACAAGAAGGGTTGTTTGGCTAGAGGACCTTTGAGGACTATGGGAGCAGAGTGGGGAAGGGAACTTGGTGTTAGGCCATTCATAGCCTTCCTGATTCTACCCAATGTCAAAGCAGCACATGCTATTAACTCTAGGCCCTGTATCACACTGTGGTTGTGCTGGAATCCACTCTCTGGCTCTTCAAGCCAATACATCTGCAAGTTTCCAAGTTTACATCGTCCTATAGAACTGGGTGCTGAAGGCTAAAAGACATAAAAATAGGAAACTTCTGAAGTGCCATCTCATTCTTCTAAGTAGTGACTTCCCTCCAGAATTTGCCTTCTTTTGCTTGCTCTGCAGTGCCTCTTGGTATTTTAAAAATATCTTATCCAGAATTTATAGTTGTTATTTGCAGAAGAGTGATTTGATGGGAGCTCTCTGGTTAATACCAGAAGCAGAACTTTTGAAGTTTAATCTTAATCTTAATCAGTTTAACTAGATAGCTGAAGAATTTATTGATTATACAATTTATTGATTATAAAAGCAACTGGGTAGTCTTTGGAATGATAATAGTAAAGCATATTAACTCATAGCTGAATTAATAACTGTAGGGCTCAAAAAATATCATCCCATAAGATATGTATATTTTGATTTAGTGCAAATTTTGATTCCAAACAAATAATTCCAAGTTCAGTTGGACTCAGCACTGATCAGATAAATCCAAGAAAAAATGTCTTTTATTTCACATTTTTTTACATACTGCTACAATAGATATGAAGGGAAAAAAGCCATTATTTGACAACGTAGTCCCATATTTCTTCTTGAATATACACCATCTTCCAGAAACCATAATTGACTTATACCAATTTTCTTATTCTGCCTTGCTTCTATATTTATTCCTAATTTGATTTTATTTATACTTATTCTTATAAGCATTTCCCTAACACTCTATATTCGTGCTTCTGTATCCCTACAAGACTATAAATGTCTCCTGGACATGGATCAAATATTTGATTCCGTTTAAATCCATACACAGCACATACTTGTGTATGTCGATTATTCTTTTTTCAGTGAATCCTATCAAGACTTGAATGGACAAATTGGGTTTTAAATTTCTTCAGAACTCTGGATGTGGCTGTTGTCTTTGGTGAGCCCAGAACCACTCACAAGAGTCAATGGCAGGTTACAAACATGGCTAAGACTTCTTATGGCAAAGGACAGAGAGCAAAGTAACCAGAAAAGATATACTGGGAAGTCCAGAGAGGTTACTACAGGCTTCCAATGTCCTTGGTCTGAAGCTGCAAGGAATCCTCTCTCTCTCTCTCTGTCTAGCAGCAAACTACAGGCATATGTTAAGTATTTCTACCTGTGGAAGCCCATTTGAGTCTCAGGGTCCAACATTTTTATGGGGAGCTGTTAAAGTACACACATTATGCGGTACAATCAGCTACGGCAACTGAGACTCAGGTCCCCAACTGTGAAACCAGGTGACCGTGTTGTGGAAAGGAACCTGACAAGCCAGCATGGTGTGTTCCATTTCTCCGGGTGTTCACCACAAAATCATCACTAATAATAAAAAACATTCCACAGGCCAAATTCCCAGGGCCTGCCAGGTCAGTCATGGTTTCCTTGGAGACATTCAAGAAATAAGCAACCAGACCCACTGCAGAAACTTTTTCTCCCAAGGGTCTGTATGTCCTTGCTATCTGGTATTACCAACTCCTGGCTTACTGATAGAAGTTAATTTGAAGCTAGCTAAGTCCTGGCATGTGGGAAAACGTTTTTAAGACCACTGCACATCTATACCATTTCCTCTAGTCTCTCTATCTACCCTTCCCAACACGTTCCCAGACTTCAATTTCTACAGTGGGCTATTCTTTACAAACAAGTAGGCTACCTCTAGGAAGCAACAGTTAATGCTGTTTGGAAGAAGCATACATGCTCAGTTGTGTCTGACTCTTTGCAACCCCATGGTCTGTAGCCCACCAGGCTCCTCTGTCCATGGGATTTCCCAGGCAAGAATACTGGAGTGGGAAGCCATGCCCTTCTCCAGGGTATCTTCCCAACCTAGGGATCAAACCTGGGGTCTCATGCATTGCAGGCAGTTTCTTTACCATCTGAGCCACCAGGGAATCCTATTAAATCCAATTGATATTACCTCCTGGAAATTTTCTATATCTAGCTCCTTTGTTTCATATAACTTCACTTCCCTGTTAATTGCTCCTGCCTGGCTTCTCCGTCTCTCTCTTCCCAGGTCATTATTCATTACAGAAGAGCTGTCAGCCCCATTCTTTCTAGAAAGCAACACATCACACACCGAAAAATAGTTTCTGCAAAAGATCCCTTACGTGAGGTATTATAACCACTCAGGTCAGTATGTTCAGTTGTTTCCCTGTGTGTTATACATGTAACACATATAATATCAATTTTATTAAAAAATTAATTGATTCCTACCCCAAATTGAAAAATATGCCCAGTGGAATGGAATCTATTTCTTGGAACCCTTTGAGCCATGGAACAGAAATCGTAACTGCTTCCTGTACCTCATCCTCTCTCTGTTTTATGACATCTGGACTCTTATCCCAATCTTCTTCCTTTTTCAGCTGCTATATTCAGAGTCCTCTTCATTACCTATGTCTGCTTAAATTTGAATCATGTAGAGAAGACCACAGCTCAATAAGGGGCAGCAGGGAAGGACTCCTTCTGCGGTAGACACGGTTCATAGGTCCCTTCTGTGGTTGTAGGCACAACCTATACACAGCATGAATCAGAACATCAGCCTGAATATGAACTTTCAAACATTTAACTCGTAACAATGATAACCTAAGGTATTCAAGTAAGACTACACAAAAATCAAGAAAGCTCTTAACAAGTTGAGGGCTATACTGAATGAGGAAAAAGTTAAGAGAACTTCTCTTAAACTGTTAAAAAAACTTCACAAAAAAAATGTACTTCTGAGTGAAAACTGTCTAGATCAGTTTCTAAAGGGTGATGTCTTCAAATCTTCAAACTTACCAATTGTGGTATTTCTTAATTTTAACTTTGTATAACAATATATGCACAATTAGAATGCTGTTATGCCAAGGACAGACATTACCAGCAATAGTAGCAGAAAAATTCTCATTAAAAGTGAACTGAAGCTAAACACTATGGGCTCCTTTCCCAGTGAGTAGTATACATATGCATTTTGTTATTGTAGGATGCATGGAAATCTTTTTGCTTCTTTTATATTAAAAATAAAGTTTATATTTTGTTAAAGCAATAAATATATTAAAAAAATCAAATGTGCAAAATAATATTTGCGAAAACAGTTCTCTCTCCAACTCCAGATCCCCAGCTCTAAAGTCAAGGCAACTATTATCATAGATAACACTGGACTATTCTTCCAGAGATATTTTATATGAATAGTAAATAGTAATAATTCTAAAGCTAACATCAGAGAACTATATTCAATATCCTTTAATAAACCATAATGGAAAAGACTATGAAAAAGAGTGTATATGTACAACTGAATCACTTTTCTGTAGAAGAGAAATTAATACAGCATTTTAAATAAGCTATACTTCAGTAAGACAAATTTAAAAAAATAATAAAGCTAACATCATGTAAGGAAGTTAGTAGGCTCTTTTGAACTTATTTTTTAATCAACATGCCACTTTTCAAAGATTACATTAGATAGGCTATTAGTCCAACCCTGAATTACAACTGTATTTTTTTGTTATACATAAAAGTGTTATGAATACCTCCTATAGATATAATTTAAATGTCATGATCCTTAAATCTTAATTCTTGTGTTATACCCACCACCATCAATGGCTTAAATAATCATTCCTTTCTCTGATTTTTCTATTTTTCCTATAACAGAAAGGTTTTCAGCCTCTAATACTTTCCACACAAATTTTCCCCATATCTTTTATATCTTTGTTCTTTTAATCTCTCTAATTCTAGTACTTACTTTCAGCAGATAACAGGAAAAAATAGTTCTACTGTCACTTCAGGCATTTCCTCAAAGTTGTCTCCCTGATGATGTCATTTCCATGACCAAAGGGTATTATGCTAAAGGATCTGGAACATACACCAGAGTTAGAACACACGAAAGACGCCACACCTCAGCTGCAGGTAGGCAATGAAGAACACAATCTTGTGTTTTCTCCAGCAGAATGGAACAACTGAGAGCAGTCTAGAAGACAAAAGAAAATGAGATAAATTATTTGTTAAATATTTCCAAAATGTGGCTCTTTTACTTTATAGAACTAGCCCATTTAAAAATACTCATAGCAAAATAAGGTTATAATTTTTCAGAAACATATATACTGAGTAAATCAAGATACACTGGTTCCCATAGATTAAAGAATCAAGAGAACCCCAATTTATGGAAATAAATTAGATAAGCAATTTTTAAAAATTTGTTACCCTCAGAAGCTAAATCAATATTCATTGAAGTGCTGGATTAAATTAACCATGCCAAGAGCAATTAATGAAACAATAGCTCCAATAAAGCCTCATTAAGTAATCAATTAGAATCATTACAAGGAACAAAAGATTTAGCAGAAAGCTCCAGGCCAGTATCGTGAAAGTGAAGTCGCTCAGTTGTGTCCAACTCTTTGTGACCCCATGGACGGTAGCCCACCAGGCTACTCCGTCCATGGAATTTTCCAGGCAAGAGTACTGGAGTGGGTTGCCATTTCCTTCTCCAAGAGATCTTCCCGACCCAGGGATCAAACCTGGGTCTCCTGCATTTCAGGCAGGTTCTTTACCATCTGAGCCACCTGGGAAGCCCGGCCAGTAGCATGAGTTTCATTTTTAAAAGACCATTCTTATTTTAACCAGAGCTGAAGGCATGAGGCATTTGCCCTTGAAAATACGTAACAGTCTAAAGGATTATAGGAGGATTTCTCATAATTTTGATTTTGTGATTATTTGGATAATTACCATTCAGGAAATTCTAATTTTCATTTAGAGGTGATTTTGTCAAATTCACTGCAAGACTTCTCAGAAAAAGTAATTTTATAACATCCCAAGTTCTTAAAAATTTTCCCCCCTCTATGGGTACTGTTCTCCTTTCCAATGATTATGAGCTAAGACTAACTAATATTTGTTTTACTCTTAATTTTTTAGGTGTGTACTTATTTCATCTATGCAGTGTGACCTTGGGCAAGTTACTTAGCTTATCTGGGTCCCCATATTGAAGTGAAGTGAAGTGAAAGTTGCTCAGTTGTGTCCAACTCTTTGCGACCCCATGGACTAGCCCATGGAATTCTCCAGGCCAGAATACTGGAGTGGGTAGCCTTTCCCTTCTCCAGGGGATCTTCCCAACCCAGGGATCAAACCCAGGTCTCCCTCATTGCAGGTGGATTCTTAACCAGCTGAGCCACAAGGGAAGCCCATGGTCCCCATATTATCACCTGTAAAAAGAAGTTGGTCTAGATTTGATCTTTAACAGGGATTTTCAACCTCTTCACCATCCTTCCCTACGGACATTGCTAGGGGAACCACTGACTGAAACTGCCTGCCCTGGCCAGGCCAGATAGTAACAATTTGCATGAGTTACCTTAAACAGGAGGTCCTAGAAAGGAATGCAGAACTAACAAGCTACCACCAATCCGAAGAATTCAGAAAAGATCTAAAGGAGAAAAGAGAAGTCAGTCCCTGTCCTACCAACCTCCCAGAATCCTCCTCACTGGAATCCATCTTGGCTGAGCAATGCGCACACACCCAGGGAGGACCCAGAGTCAGAATGATTAGCCAGAGACAACCGGGAAGCTAATCCCATCACCATAAGATCCAAGACTGCGGGCCACGCACATAGCAGAGCTGTCCTCCTGGGTTCCCTTACCCCTCTGCTCTTCACTCAGGCGCCCCTTCCCAATAAAACCTCTTGCTTTGTCAGCATGTCTCCTTGGACAATTCACCTCCTGGTGTTAGACAGAGCCCACTCTCAGACCTGGAAGGGGTGCCCCTTACTGCAACAACACAATGGTTATGACGAATTAACATCAGTAGTGGCTCACCCAGCTACTGGGTGAGGGTGCCTTTGCCTGTCCTCTCTTCCTTTGGGGGACATCACTGATCTAAGATTAGTGTTAACTATACAAGTCTGTGGAGAAGGAAATGGCAACCCACTCCAGTATTCTTGCCTGGAAAATTCAGTGGACGGAGGAGCCTGGCAGGCTGCAGTCCACGGGGTCACAGAGTCAGACACGACTGAGTGACTTACACTTATACAAGTCTATAGTGATCAGGAGATTAAAAATGACCATCTGAAATTGTGTAACCTTGAGAGCAATTTTTTGGTTTTTCCTTCATTCAACCTATATTTACTCAGCACTGTGCAGGGCTCTGAGACAACAGGCACAGTTCTTGAATAAAATCATCTTTTTTGAGGTACTTAGTAAAAAAGAAAAAAAACCCACATAATTTAAAGAGGGTGAAGCCTATGCTACCATGGCTTTCAATACATTACCTCTTTAACCACACTTCTTTGTCCATTTGATGAAATTAATAGGAAAACCTCTACAACAAATTATGCATACCCATATGTCAAGCACTGCCCCAATCTTTAATCTCAAACTTCCAAAAGTAAGAGGTCAAATCTTCAGTTTACAGGTTTTGGCTACTCTACGATTCTAGGCTATTGTTGGGTTTATTGCTTATCTGCAAAAACATTTTAAGGTACGGTACCACTCACTGAGAAAACGGAGTATGGACGAGGACAGAATGTGCTGGCATGTCTTTTATCACACTTACGGATCAAGCTATTTCATTATTTGTACAGGTTAAATGATTTACACCTGCAATATCAACCATTTAATTTTGGACAGATTTACTAAGTTTCCCCAGCAAAATTAGGCCAGAGTTCCAATTTTGAACATAAGTGTAAATCTCCCTTCCTTAAATTTTAAACCCTTTCCCCTGCTTTTAGGAAACATAATTGCATAATTCAAACTCCTTCAATCCTGTGACCTAGTTCCCCCTCTTGGTGTTATAAACGGCTTGTGTAACTATGGTAACCATCCAGGGAATATTGAATGTTTTTCTGGTCAGCAATATGCAAAGTATACCATATGTTTTGTTTTTCTCTCTGGGATAACCAAAGTGGATAATACATGCTTGCTTTTCTTCTTGGTTATGGGAATGACATTTTATCATACTGAATTTTCTATAACGATAGACAAAGTCATTCACAGTAGCTCCGTTAAAAGGTTTTAGGATCGTCTCTTGCTGTTAGTGGTCATTCTAATTGCTGCAGGCACTGTAACCCATAGTAGGATTGTGTACACCAATCTGCGCTGTTTACCTCATAAACTAAACGTACAGGTTAACAATACTAACATTAGCAATATTCCATCCTGAGAATCTGGTTATTTTCTTAACTTCGTCCTTTAGTCCTAGACAAAGTGCTTCCCTAAAGCAAAAAACTAAAATGGAATCATCTTGGGGGTCTACTTAGATACCAAGAAGACTTATTTCCAGTTTTTAGTGATTTTATATGTCTTCTTTTTTGCTGTTTTCCTACAATTAAGGTGTGCTCCTGTGCTCTCTCGTGTCGGACTCTTTGCGACCCCATGGACTGCAGCCTGCCAGGTTCCTCTGTCCATGGGCTTCTCCAGGTAAGCACACTGGAGCAGGGTTGCCATCGCCTCCTCCAGGGGATCTTCCTGACTCAAGGACTGAAACTCCATCTCCTGTACGTCCTGCATTGGCAGGTGGACTCTTTACCACTGAACCACCTGGGAAGCCCCACAATTAAGGTATACTACTTACATAATAAAGCAATCAAAAATGCTTTAAAATTGAGCTCACTGGAGACGTAGATTCTTAGTATTTGCAGTTATTGTTGTTGCCTGTTGTACTAATGAACTGATTTAAAGTTTTAGGTTTTTCTCAGTATAATTTAAAATGCTTCATTTGGACTTCTAGGACAAATTATACTCTAAAACAAATGCCTAGATTTTTAGAAGATTTATTTGCAATAGATATAATTACATTTCTACAGGGGGCTATCAATTAGTAACCTTTCAATATGAGGATTTTAAAAGTGATTTTCTTGCATTTCACTATGTTTTACATAATGCTTTCCAACAATCCAAATATCTTCCTTAGAAAACCATTGCTATCTGCTTCACTGAATTAAACAGGGAATTAACTGCCTCTTAGTGGTTTAGAAAAGGCCTCACTAACCAAATGCAGCGTGGAACAACTGAGCCAAATACACTCGTCAAACAAACCAAGTGGGAAAAGGCATCAGTTAGGCAATAGGGAAATTTCAATTGTCTGGATATTAAATGATAGATAATTTTTGGATGCGATAATGATGTTGTAGATTATCTGTTCATATTTAAAGTATTTATGGAGAAAAATCATAATAATGCATAAAGGATAAGAGAGTGAAATATTATGGGCCATATATTGATAAATGTTCGAGTTGGATGAATGGTATATTTGGATTTATTGTACTATTACCTCTACTTTTGTGTGTGCTTGAAATTTTCCAGAATAAAGTTTTTAAAAATATTAAAAAGTAGAAAAAACGAAAAGGATTTCAAATTTAATTGGCCTGACTCAAGCAGTAGCTGAGTTTTCTCAAGAGGTGTCTTTAGGAAACCTTCAGCACTGCTTGCTAGCTACAGTTTTCCATCAGTTTGCAGGGAGTTGTTTTTTTTTNCTTTTTTTTTTTTTTTTTTTTTTTTAAAGAATAGTTGTGTGTGTTTAGTTGCTCAGTGGTGTCTGACCTTTTTGAGATTCCGTGGATTGTAGCCCACCAGGTTCCCTGTAACTGGATTTTCCAGGCAAGAATACTGGAGTGGGTTGCCATTTCCTTCTCCAGGGGATCTTTTTGACCCCGGGATTTGAAGCTGTGTCTCTTATGTCCCCTGCATTGGCAGGTGGGCTCTTTACCACTGTACCACCTGGGAACCCTCCCTCATAGTTTGAAGTGTTCTCCCGCATACCCCGCCAAAACTTTACAACATAAATAAGTGCCTCCAGGGACTTCTTGGGCTTCCCTTGTGGCTCAGCTGGTAAAGAATCCGCCTGCAATGCAGGAGACCTGGGTTCGATCCCTGGGGTGGGAAGATCCCCTGGAGAAGGGAAAGGGTACCCATTCCAATATTCTGGCCGAGAGAATTCCCCATGGACTGTATAGCTCACGGGGTGGCAAAGAGTCAGACACTACTGAGTTACTTTCACTTTTTTCCAGGGACCTCTTAAAAATTTCCTACCAGGAACCTCTTACAGTAACAGATTCATAAATTAATGTTAACCTCAGACAGTTCTGCTAATTTGAAGTTGTCAGTAACCTCTTTTTTAAGGTGACTTTTGTACTTTTTCACTTTCATACTAAAGAGCAAAGAAGATGCCTTTTTTCTTTACTTATACAATTAAACATCACCAATTAACTTCTATATTTTGGAGAATTGGGGACTTTTAAATATTGCATTTAGCAGGGTGAAGGAAAAGGCCCCAAATTTCCAGTTAAGTGATTTGAGAAGAAAAGGACATGAGAAATAACCAAGCTCAAGGGCTGAGTTTGGGGAGTACAGTGATTTCTTTTTTAATCTCCCCCCACACTCTGCTTTCACAACTATGGTAGGAATAAATGTTGATTATCTTTTATAAATCAGCATAGCAAGAAAGCACATCTCTAACAATTCACATACACACATATATTACCATATCAGAGTGTTCTTTATAGGTTTAGAGCAACACAGGCTGAAAAATCATTATTTAGATTTTTTGCTTCCTTTCAGCCTGCTCAACAGAATTGTGAAAGGTGAAACTAATGTTTTCATTTCCATATTCATCCTTCCTTCCTCTCATCCTGTTCATAGTTCCTGGAGGGAGTGCTTTAGGTATTATGAATCATTGCTTTCTCTCACTTCTAGTTTCTAACTATGTGTCATACCTGCCTGCAAATCACTTCTTAGGCTGTATAAAACCCATAGGCGCATTTTGTGTCAAATCTGAATCAGTAAATTATAGGGCATCTTGTATTATTTGGGGCCTTCATTAAAAACTAGCTGATTTAAATATATTAGTACACAAAAATAGCAGAGTTTAAGTAAAAGGTTATTAAAATTCAATTCTTAGTGGTGACTTTTTTAAGTCCTGGCCACTTAATCTGAAAGACTTCCAGAATGACAAGAAAATACCTAGGCAGTCCTCAGAAATATCAACACAATACACTGTACTGCCTAGGCTGACTTAATATTCAAGTGATCAAATCTTGAAGTCTCACAGCACAAACACACACAAGACAGTCTGAGTCCCGAGCCATGTTATCTTGCTCCCAAGACTCAAATTTCCAAGAGTGCTTTTTTTTCGGTTTGAAATTTAAAATATCCTCTAGATCAAGGTCTAGATCGCTCTTTGCATGTCAGTGGTTACATACTATTAACAGCTGTTTCAAAAGGGCTCTAAATAGGTCACCAGACAGGTGGCCCACCACTGCGAACCAACTGGATATAAGAAATCCAAATTTATCGCCCATTCAGGTTTTCTTTTTAACGCAGAGGTACTACTCACAATAGTGCTTGTTTACACAGGCAATTGTTAAAGTTCCCCATGTATTTGTTCTCTTTACACCCATTTCTTTGAAAAAATACACGCTGTGATATACACCGAGTCCATACGGAATTCAAATCAACTCCTCTGCTGGGCATTTCATTTAACACCAGACAGAAATTTAAACCGTGAAAACCGATCAAGTAAGACCAGAATAAGTGCCTGACTCCTCATTAAGTTTATCCTGGCGTCTCCATCACCCCTACAAGCCGGGTCCCCAGTGGTTTTCAGTCTTAGGTCGAAGATGTTAAGTTGACCGTGCCCCTCTCGCCGCCAGGAAAACGTCGCCGCCGACGTTTCAAGTTTAAACATTCTGATTCCCCATGGGTAAAACCCTTTATTTTTTTTTTTTTAGAAAAAGGTTGTCTGTTGGACAAACAGGTACAGGGTAGAGTCGGCCTAAAATAAACGCGAGTCTCCAAAAGCTGGAGGGCGGACCAAACCCGCAGGTCCTGGGGCGGCGGGAGACCACCCGCAAGGGCGGAAGCTGGACAAAGCCGGGAGGGAAAAACCCAAAGGCGGGCGGCCTAAGGCAGAAAGAGATGCAGGGGACCGCCGGGGCGCCGCCGCCTACCTCCGCGATCGGCCCCCGATGAGCCGAGAGCCTGAAGGCCGCGGCGGGAGGAGGACAGGGCCCGAGCGCGGCGCCGGTGTGCCCTGCGGGCACACCGCCGCCGCGCATGCCCGAGAGCCGCGCCCGCCGCGTAGTCCCGGCAGGCCTCCCTCCGGGTTGCGGCGGGAAGCGGCCGCCCGCTGCGCTTTCTGAGGCTCGCCAAGGGCCGCGCTAGGCCCCAGCTGAAGGGGGCGGGGGGCGGGGCGGAAAGTCGGTAACACCGGGCCGAGGGAGCGGGACCCAGCTTCCCCCTCCCTGAGGGAAGACGGAAGGAAGGGGGTCACCCGCCCTCGCGCTTCAGTTCCATTCAGACACTGAGAGGAGAGGCGGGCCGAGCCGTGCTGCCCCTTTAAGAGGAGGCGGGGCGCAGCCTGCCGTTTGGCCGCCCTCCGTACCCTCCCCCCGCCCGGGCCGAGAGTTGACAGACCAATCGCCCGGGTGGCGAAGGGAAGGCGGGAGAATGCGAACCCTGCGGTAGGGCGGTAGGGGCGGGCCCCTGGGCCTCTCAGGAGGGAGCCCTGCGCAGGCGCAGAGGCGGCCGCAGCCGGAGGGGCGGGGGCAGCCCAGCGAGAGAGACACTCCGGCAGGCGCGGGAGGGTGATTGGGAGAAAAGCGGACAGCGAGAGGCTTGTCATGGGGATCCGAGTTACGGGGCGGCATTGGTAGCATCTGGGGCCTCCCGGGGGGACCGGAAGTGTCAACGCCCGGGAGCCCGGCGCCAGCTCCGCTAGGGGAGGTCGGGGGTGGGGGGGTCCCTGCTGCTCTAGTCCTGGGGAGGGAGGGGGGGAAGGAGGGAGCCGCGATCTCGCCCCGCCCCTGGGCTTGTTACGGCGGGGGCGGGGAGTGAGGGCTTCTTTGGGGGAGGGAGGGAGCGGAGATCGGGGGACTCGGCAGTGCCCTCCGGAGTGGCGGCCGGTGTCCCTGCGGCGCCGGGCTGCCGAGCCGAGGAGCCGCGGCGGTCGTGGCTGTTGCATGTGTGGCTGCTGGATGCGGAGGCGGCGGCGGCGGTGGCGGCGGCGGCGGCAGCAGCGGCAGGATGTTAGGGCAGCAGCAGCAGCAGCAACTCTACTCGTCGGCCGCGCTCCTGACCGGCGAGCGGAGCCGGCTCCTCACCTGCTACGTGCAGGACTACCTCGAGTGTGTGGAGTCGCTGCCCCACGACATGCAGAGAAACGTGTCCGTGCTGCGGGAGCTGGACAACAAATATCAAGGTATGGGCCGCGGGTCCTCCCCCCCGACTCGGGGCCGCCGGGCACTGTCGCTGGGAGCCTGCCCCGGGGAAAGTGCCACTTTTCCAGCTCTCCCCGAGTGCACAGTGTGTGTGTGGGGGTCTGGCGTGTGGGACCCGGGGCAGCGGGCCCCCGTAGGTGGGGTTCGCGGCCCTCCCCCTCGCTGCGGACTTCTTGGCGGGGGGGGGGGGGGTGGTCTTGACGGTGGAAGGGAGCGTTGGCCACTCCTCAGCCCCCGCTGCAGACCCAGCGGCTGCAGCCTCTGTGGAGACGAAATCAGCCATTTTTAAGCAGCAAGCTCATTTGTTCCGGGTGTTCGCCCGCCGGGTGCCGCAGACCCCTCGGCGCCCCGGCCCGGGGAGCGTGCAGCCCGGTGGGTGGGGGGGGGTGCCGTGGGGAGTGAGCGGCCGGCCGCGGCCGGACTCCCGCGGGCCCACAGGGCCGGGCTTCCTTCAGCCCAGCCCGTCTCGGGCCCCCACCCCCTGAGCGCAGATGCACTGGAACGTGCTGGGGGGGAGGGGGCGAGGGCGGACTGCGAAGGCGGCCTCCGGAGAGGTCCCTCCCCCGGCGCTCCGGAGCTCCGGGCTCGGGAATCGAGTCTTCCCCCGTCTCTCGCCCCAGGGAAAGTTCCGGGCCGCAGCCTTTCCCAGCTGCTACAGCCGAATGGTTGAAAGGCTAGGGGGCTCCCCGCGGGGGAGCCGAGGGGTGTGCGTATGTGTGTTTGTGTGTGTCTCTGTGTGTGGGGCGAGGAGGACCCCCACCCCCTCCTGGGGGCGGGGCTTGCAGGGGTGACGTAGGGTGTAGGCGGAGCGCGGACACGCGCGCTCCCGCCCGTCCGGAAAATGGCTGGTCGCGGGAAGGCTCGGGCGGGCGACGCCGGCTGGTCGGGAGGCGGCCGTGCTGGACGTTAGCTCGCCCTCGGCGGAGTCTGCGTTGGGATTTGGGACACGTTTCTCTGTGAATTTTCGACTTTTCTCCCCCAACCACTCAAATCACAACAGAGACACAGTCAGCTTCGGGGGCCGTCGCAGATCCCGGCACCGCGTCTGTTCCCGACCTTGCGTCACTTCCGGGTCCCCAAAGGGTGTGAGTTGGTTGACTGGGCAACCGCCTGGCGTCCCTCAACCCCCGGGTCCCTCCTCCGCCGAGTTTAAATGCTGTGGCAAAAGCCGCCTTTTGTGGTCAGACCCAGACAGCTAGGACAGGGAATCGACCTTTCTTACAGAGCGTGTTATTTGTTGTTTATCATTGGTGACCCTTTCGCCTGCAACTGCAAGGGGAGGAGTTAACTTAAATGGGGAGCCGTTTGCGGTTAATATTCCCGAATCGAGAAACAGACCTTGGACCTGATGTGGAATCAGTCCTCTGAACTTTAAAAAGATAACTTCTTGGATCCATTCTCAGTTTTTCGACCCGTCGCTAATCCTGCAATTTAGTGTCTTAACGCATTTCTGGGGTGGTATTTTGGGACCTGCAGCCTGATAGAATATTTAGTTGTCTCTGTGTCTTGTTTTTTAACCTATAGTTTGTTTCTGCCTTTTGAATCCATATTGACAGGACTGGTCTCTGTTGGGGTGGGAGAAGTGACTAATACAGATTACTTACTGGTTATCAGTTGCTGCACTGCGTTCGGAACGTTATCCTATTTAATCTTCACAGCTCAATGAAGTAAAAATTCATTTTGCAGACAAATTTAAATTTACAAGGAGTTTAAGTAATTTGTCCAATTAAGTGGGGAATGTTTGACTCCATAGCCTGGCTTCTTCAGGTGCACATGGTCGTTTTTAAAGTATTTAAATCTTTTTTTTTTTCTTAATACTCTCCAAAAGTGTTTTCTATAGACATGGAGCACATACCTGAATTGTAACCTAAAAATATTTCATGTGTGCTTAAGAGTTGTATGTTGAACCTTTTTAGTTTTTCAAATGATAACTCTTAAGTTTGTAAAACTTGCATGTTTTTACATTTCTTTAAAGACCTGTTGGAGTTCACAAAAGTTAAGATGCTTTCTTTTAATTTTAATTGGCGAGGGATAATTTGTTAACAGGAAATATGCAGTCTTGACCATCTAGAATTCCCTTGAAAGACTGAGAGATTATAAAAAGTAGCTCCCTTAAGACTATAGTTCTTTTCAAAAGTAATACAAAAACAGTGATCTAGTTTTTACTTTATGCGCGTGCTTACTAAGCTCAACTCTCAGTTTTCTATTAGCTTTGTATACTTGTGTGGTTTTGGTTTTTCATGTCTTTAATTTCTTTGCTAGTTCTTAAGTATTTTCTGCTTTTTTACTTAATATTTACAGTAATAGTGATATTAATAGCGATTAATTATTAATTATTATCACTATTAATTAATAGTGATATAAATTATTTAGACAGTCACATTTCTTTCCTGCCTATTTCATACATTTTCAGAAATTACTGAAGACTACTAAATTACTGAAGTCTACTAAAAGTAGACTTAAAAAATTTTAAAGATAGAGGAATGAAGAAAACAATTGCATAATTGAATGAAGTGTTATTATGTGTGTGTTAGTCGCTCAGTCATGTCTGACCCTTTGAGATGTCAAGGACTGTAGCCTGTCAGTTTCCTCTGTCCGTGGGATTCTCCAGGCAAGAATACTGGAATGGGTTGCCATTTCCTTCTCCAGGGGATCTTCCTGACCCAGGGATCCAACTCGGGTCTCCTGCATTGCAGGCAGAATCTTTACCATCTGAGCTGTCAGGGAAGCCCAGTTTATTATGGGGTATTGTTCTTAGAGAACCTCAATTTTTGTTCCAGTATTCTTGTTCATAATTTCCTTCATAATCAAAGGTTATTTACACCTTTGAGCTAAAATTTCGTATTTAATACCCAGTGCCTTCCATGCAGGTGTGTAGAATGTGCTTAAAGGGCAGAGCCAAACTGACAGGTCTGGCGCAGTTCAGAGACTAGGGTGGTTACCTGTTGAGCTTCAGTGTCTTCACATGCAGAAGTGCTGGCTTTCTCACGGGGTTGTGATTCATGAGAAAAAGTGTTAGTGGCCTTTCTTCTGTCACTGTGTAATTAGGGTGTCTTGAAAATGTGAGTATTTACCTCATATATAGTATCTGTGTTGCTATAATTAGCTTCTAATTCCTGATTATTGGATAAGGCTTGCCTTTATTTTTTAAACTTCAATTTTTGTGTGTCTGAGGGGAAAATATATAGCTTATTTTTCCTGGAAGAAAGTTGAGTTCTAAAGAAATCCATGTATATATCTAGCTGGGAAAATGGGCAAGATGTGAACATTATTTTAAAATATGCTGTGTAGGTGTGAGTACCCTCAGACATGTGGGGGCACATTGTCGGGTAAATAGTTGTCCTTTGTGTGAGTACCCACAGTTTCCAAGGAGGTTCTATTTCATAAGTTGTGTTGAATACATGCTCTGTGTTACCTTCCTTGCAGACACCCCCCAATGTATGTTACAAACATTTTTGTTCTTGTCGTTAGAGTAATGATATTAGAAGATTAAACAGTGCTATGGTATGTGGTGTGATAAATTCCAAGTTAATTTTTGTTTCTGCATCTTTTCTAAGAACTCCTTCAGATAGCATTGTATCTCATAAGGACAAGAAAGAGGACAGATTTGAATAAGACATTTATGTGAATTTTGGTGACATCTGGAACTATATTTTCGGATTTTTGTATGTCTTCTAGTGACTCAGCCATTTTTAGTTGGTTTAAGTGTGTCCCACATTCTCTACAGTACCTAAATCAGCAGATAAAAAACTGAGGACCAAATGCTGACTTATCTGCAAAAGCACAGTGACCCAATGCTGACTTAACTATAATTTTGTTAGTAGCTTAGTCAGTTGATGCCAGAACCTGAACCTAAACCTGTTCTGGAAATAGTTTGATTTTCAGAGTCTCCCATGTGATGATATAAAAGAGCCATTCAAGCTAATATCATGGAAAGCTAAGAGTTACTTGTGTTTGCTTTGCTTAATGTCCAGGGGATGATATGAAAGTCAAGGTAGAGAGTGTCTCTGGGGCATGTAGCAAGTCATGTATTGAACCATATATCCTGTAAACATAGTTGGACAGTAATCTAGCCTAGTCCTGGTGAAAGACTTTTGATTTTTAATTAGCCACAGATCTTTTGTGCTTTCTAATGTAGATTAATGAGTATTAGAGAGGGCTCATTCTTTTTATTAGCTTACTTCTAAATATACTTTCATGTTGGATAATGTGTGGTCTTGGTAAGGAAAATAAAATGTTTTTAATGTATTCATACTATACTGGAATGTGGTTTTATGGTCGAGTTCTTTTTTTTTTTTTTTTAGTTCTTTTTTACTGTACCAGTTCTGGGAAAAAATAACTAACTTGAAAAATGTCATGTGCCACCATGCATTTTCTTTTTTTTTTTTTTCTGATTTTCATTCTTTCCTTTTTTTAGAAACATTAAAGGAAATTGATGATGTCTATGAAAAATACAAGAAAGAAGATGATTCAAACCAGAAAAAACGCCTCCAGCAGCATCTCCAGAGGGCATTAATCAATAGTCAAGAACTGGGAGATGAAAAAATTCAAATTGTCACACAGATGCTCGAATTGGTGGAAAACCGGGCAAGGCAAATGGAGCTACACTCCCAGTGTTTTCAAGATCCTGCCGAAAGTGAGCGAGCTTCGGATAAAGCAAAGATGGATTCCAGCCAACCAGAACGATCTTCGAGAAGGCCCCGCCGGCAGCGGACCAGTGAAAGCCGCGACCTGTGTCACATGACGAACGGGATTGAGGACTGTGACGATCAGCCCCCCAAAGAAAAGAAATCCAAGTCTGCCAAGAAAAAGAAACGCTCCAAGGCCAAGCAGGAAAGAGAAGCTTCCCCCGTCGAGTTTGCAATAGATCCCAACGAGCCTACATACTGTTTATGTAACCAAGTGTCTTACGGGGAAATGATTGGATGTGACAATGAACAGTGTCCAATCGAATGGTTTCACTTTTCGTGTGTTTCACTTACCTACAAACCAAAGGGGAAATGGTATTGCCCAAAGTGCAGGGGAGATAATGAGAAAACGATGGACAAAAGTACTGAAAAGACAAAAAAGGAAAGAAGATCTAGGTAGTTAAAGGCCATCCACATTTTAAAGGGTTGTCTTTTATATAATTCTTTCAGAATTTAATTTCAGAAAATGTTTTAGGGTAAATGCATAAGACTATGCAATAATTTTTAATCATTAGTATTAATGGTGTATTAAAAGTTGTACTTTGTCTGTGACCTTAATTTTCTGCACTGAATTACCAAATATTTTAAACCAGGTAGTCTTCAGATCGCCTGATGAAAGGAGCAGGGACTAGAAAAGGGTGGCTTGAACATGATAAAAACTTCACACACCATACCTATTTCATCCTCACTGAAACTGCAATGCTAATTTGGGGGGAAACACCAAAGTTTTGCTAGCATTTTAGTTCTGTGTGCTTACAAAAGTTTAGATACAGTTGAGAGTTCTCTGTAAGCCTTCAGATTATCTTGGCTAATTTAAAATATGAACACTATACCATTCAGAACTTCTTTCTCCCTAGCCCCATTTACGCATACACTTGTTGATCTCTAGTCTTCCAAGAATAAGGAACTAGAGGTAAGAATTTGGGATTCCATGTGGAATACTGTGCTCTTCTCAGAGTATTTGCTGCTGTATTTTCCATAGTAGCGTTTTGATACACTGTCAGTAGCCCATTTATAAATACCTGCTGCTGCGTCACAGCTGCATTCAGTCTAGTCCTTCATAAGGGAGTTGTTTTGTTTTCATTGAGGCAGGTAGGAGCAATTAGAATACCAAAAATGCTGCCATGGGCTTATATTGGCAAAATTTGGGTTATGCAGTATCATGGTTCAAGGCCCTTGAGCAATTTTTAAAAAGCATCTTTGTTAACAATATTTTTCATGTTGACCCATGGCTAGGATGCCTGGTCACAGGCCTATCAGTGGGAAAAAGGTATATACTAGTCTTTAAATATTGCCTTTCTGTCAAACAGTAGTTTAAGTGGTTTTGCTAGTGGCTGTAGTTCGTTTCTGTCCCAATCAGAAATTATATATTATTTTAAGTAATAGTGTATTTACTTTCTTAACTTTCTGGTATTGGTGCTGTTTGGTGTCTTCATGTTTAATGAACTAATTTCATTATAACAATACAATTAATAATGTATTTGTAAATTGAATTTTCCAAGATTCTAATATTTTAAGGGTAAGCATCTTGATGGATACATATCCATATATTTGGAGAATTTTTGGTTTTTCATGGGTGGGGCAGTGGATTGACTAGTCCTTAAATCTATATGTAACATACTTTTTATTCCTCATTTCTTCCTAATCTGATGATCTGGATTCTTTTTGATTAACATGTGAAAAATCCTGTTTGCTTGTTTGGAAAAAAGAAAAAAAAAGTTTTTTCTCTTCTAGTTCTCCTGTGTGACTTTTAGACATAACATTTCAGCTCATCTGGGTGTCAGGCTGCTCATCTGTAGTATGCAGTTGACTTAAGTATCTCTATGGTTCTTTTGAAATCTATAGAGTATTTTCTATTGTAGTAATGGGGTTCCCTGGTGGCTCAGAAGGTAAAGAATCCGCCTGCAATATAGGAGACTCAGGTTTGGTCCCTGGGTCGGGAAGATCCCCTGGAGGAGGAAATGGCAACCCGCTCCAGTGTTCTTGCCTGGGAAATCCCATTCACAGAGGAGCCTGGTGGACTACAGTCTATGGGGTCACAAAGAGTCAGACACGACTGAGCAACTAACTCAGGGATTTAAATAATCAAAGGACTTGCTTTTCACTAATTGTGTCCTTTATTCTGAGGTTTGAGGACAGTTCAAAGGTGAGCTTAGAGGCGGGTAAACAATATTTGATTAGCTTCTGTCCTAAGGATGTTTTGGTTGATGACTACAGTTGATTATGTAGAGCAAGAAGTATTGAATTGTGGAGAAATCCTTTTCTCTCGTGAGATACAGCATTTTGTCTTAGTGATTATGTCCTTGTGACTAGGGTAGAGCTGCCTGCCCAACACTGTTGAACATAGCAGTATATGCAAAGCCCCCCAAAACCCGCAGGTGTGACTCTCATAGAGGTCAGCACTTCTGTGCATCAGTTTGCCTCAGCATGTGGAGGAAAAGAAGAACCTACAAATAGAAGTCCCCAAATTTGGATTAAGCTTGACAGGAAAAGCAATGGAAAGTCTTGAAAGATGAAAGATGTATCCTCTTTCAGACCAAATGTTTGAAACCCTTATTTTTATGAATTTCTTTTTTATTTTCTGTACCACACAGGAAATAGAAGCTTTAAGTTGGTATAACATTATGACTGGCATTACTTTTAAGTATCAGATTTCATACACTATTTCAGTCCATGCTTACCAACTCATACTATGTACCAGTAGTTCCCCAACTTGTCTCACATTGGAATCAACCTCAGGAGCTTCACAAAATACTGATACTTAGGTCCCACCCTCAGCAGTTGTGATTTAACTCTTGTTATTAAATATAGTTTTAATATTAGAATTTTTAAGACCCTAGTGTACAGAAAAGTAGAGCCTCTGCCATGCTGTGAAACTTTGAGCCAATTGAAAACCACTAGTGGATTCTGTGCATCTAGGTTTGTGTGCCTGAAGCACAGGTAAGTGTGGATACATACCTGGGAGTTTTGTCCCTGGACCCCTAAAATTACTCCAACAATACTTGAAGATTCAGTACTTGAGTGCTTCTTGTTTTCTCAGTAGTGATTGTTAGAAGAAACAGTTCCTGTTCATGGACCAGACATTCTAGGGGCAGAATGATAGCATAGATATATATATATGAGAGAGAGTATAGATAGTTCCAGGTACTGGGATTAGAGTGGGCTTCCCTGGCTCAGAGAAAACCACCTGCTGATTGAGGAGGCGTGAGTTTGATCCCTGGGTCCGGAGGATCCCCTGGAGAAGGAAATGGCAACCCACTCCAGTATTCTTGCCTGGGAGATCCCATGGACAAACGGACCTGGCAGGCTGCAGTCTGTGGGGTCGCCAAGAACTGGACATGACTTAGTGACTGAGCGTACACACACTGGTGTTTGAACCCAAGAGGAAAGGACAGTAAGGAGATAGAAAGGGAGGTGCGTCTTCTAGTTACGTAGTTAAAGACGGTCTCTAAGGAAGTGATCGTTGGACTGAGACCAGGAATAGGGAAGTGAGGCAGGCAAAGAATTTGAGAAGAGGGAGAAGTGGAACGGGCATGTCGGTCTGACTGGAGCACTTGCCGCGATGGGGGAGGGTCTTCCTGGCAGCCATGGTAGAAAATCTGTGCAGATTTATCACAGGGAGGCTTGGTGAAGATAGGGAGATAACAGGAGACTGAGAAGTCTTTCCACCAAAAATGACTGGCTTAGACTAGGGTGGGAACAGTGGAGGTGGTGGTGGGTGGTAGGACTCTGTGTTTAAAGGTACAGGTGTTCAGAGGACTTTGGCCCAGAAGCTGGAAAGCAAGGGGGTGACGAGTATGACTCGAGTTTTGGGCTTGCGAGATCTAGATTTCTGTTTCGCACTTATGTTCGAGGTGCCTGTTAGAATTGTATTGGGATTCCATCATGGAGTTGGGGGCTGATGTTAGGGGAAGAGACAGGAGGTTAAACATTAGGGAGTTTGCCTAGGAAGGGATTTTAAAGTCATGTGACTGAAATCACTCATGTAGATACATCAGTGCTGCTCAAATTTTAACAAGCGTGTGAGTCATCTAATTTTCTGAAAATGCAGATTCTGACTCAGTAGGCCTGGCGTGGGGCCCGAGATCCTACATTTCTAGGTACCTACAAGCTCCTAGGTGACACCGCTAGTTCAGGAACCCACATTTTGAGTATCGACCATGTACATCCAGAAGAGGGAGGCGTGGGCCGGCCTGGCGGTACCCCAGCATTTGAAAGGGGCCAGCCAAAGAAGACTCCGAGTTCTCTGGGTGAGAGAAATCGGAAACATATGACACCAGAAACAAAAGTGAAGAAAGTGTTTCAGGAAGGGAGTGACCTTTCAAGTGTTTGTCAAGTTAGGGGAGGACTGAGAACTCACGGTTAGATGGGGGAGGTTGTTAAGTTTAACAGGCTGCAGGGTTTGGGGTGAAGGCTTGGCTGGGATAAATTGGGCCAGCTCCATTATTTTTGGGGGGCCAAGCTCCAGGGCAGGTGGAACTTCCTAGCCCAGAGATTGAAGTCACACCCCCGGCATTGGAAGCACGGAGTCCTAACCGCTGGACTTCACCAGGGAAGTCCGGAGCAGAAGACTGCGGCAGAGCCAGCAGCTCCAGGCAGCTCCAGTTCTCACATCAAGGGAGCAGAATAGTAGAGGGGTGAGGGGCCGGGCAGCCCAGGGGGGTTCCAACTGAAGGAGACAGCCGCGTGATTGCCTGCCGATTGGAATACTGCATTAGAAGGGGACAGATGAGGCCTCTGCAGAGCAGCGGGTTACTGCAGGCGTGGAGTCTGAGACGGCAGGCAGGAAGGAGCAAGAGCTGAGACTGAGGGTTAGCCTCAGGCCCAGGGAAAGTGCCAGCTCGGGTGTCAGAAGGGAGGGTGGTATTTCTGCTCATTAATTCAAGTATCTATTGCATGCCTGTTGTGGTGGTGGTGGTTTAGTCACCAAGTCACATCTGAGTCTCTACGACCCCATGGACTGTAGCCCGCCTGGCTCCTCCGTCCTCAGGATTCTCCAGACAAGAATACTGGAGTAGGTAGCCATTCCCTCCTCCAAGGGATCTTCCCGACCCAGGTATCGAACCCAGGTCTCCTGCATCACAGGCAGATTCTTTACCAACTGCATACCTGTTGTACCTGTACTGTATTTACAAGGCACTATTTTCAGTACTGAGGCTAAAGCAGTGACTGGAATGGTAAGTCTGTAAAGCTAGAGGTGCTTTAAGTTCTGGAGTGAATGGGCGTCAGGGCAGAGAGCTTGCTAGATTTAGTCCTGGGAAAATGGGATTGATCTCACAGCTTCCGTGTTGCCCATGAAGAGCTGAGATGGGGAAGGTGTTGGAAGTCGGCAGGCAATCCTGGGAGGTGTGCATCGGCTCTCACTGGGGAGACGGGGCAGGTGATTGGGCCCGGAGTGCTGGTCAGAGCGCAAGGGCAGCTGGAGTCTCTGGTCGTAAGCTTCAGAGGAACTCATTCTGTTGCCTGGATCCTGGTGTGAAAAAAGACGTGGACAGGAGAACTGAAAATTTCAAAATCTCTGCACAGTGGGTGGTTTAGTCGCTAAGCCGTGTCCGACTCTTGCAACCCCATGGACTGTAGCCTGCCAGGGTCCTCTGTCCACGGGATTCTCCTGGTGAGAATCCTGGAGTGGGTTGCCGTTTCCTTCACCAGAGGCTCTTCCCGCCCCAGGGATCGAACCCAGGTCTCCTGCATTGAAGGCAGATTCTTTACCTGCTTAGCTATGAGGGAAGCCCTCTGCACAGCAGGCACCCGGGAAAAGGGCAGCTCCCCCATCCTTTTTATATACCCACGGGGAGCTCCATCTGAGGAGTCTGTCTTCCTCTCTCCCACCTGAAATAAGAGGAGCCTGTCCTCAAGGAGCAATTGGTATTAATAAACTCCACAGCCCTTCAGCCCTTAACTCAAGTCCTTAGGGTTTGATGTCACTCAAAATCTATGTTAAGTAAACTACAAGTTATGTTGAAATTGCCAGGTTGCCTAAACTCGACATCAGTTAGAGAAACCAAACCTCCTTTGCTGATGCTGTTTCGTCGTTCAGTTGTGTCTGACTCTTTGTGACCCTGTGGACTGCATCCCACCAGGCTCCTCTGTCCAGGGGATTTCCCAGGAAGAAAACTGAAGTGGGTTTCCTTCTCCAGGGGATCTTCCCCACCCAGGGATCGAACCCTGGTCTCCTGCCGGGCAGGCGAATTCTTTACTGATCAGAGCCACTTGAAGAGCTCACAGCCTGCAGCCAGGACTCCTGCTGTGGGCTCCTCTGCCATCCCCATCAGGTCACCTGTTTGCTCAGCTGTAAAATGAGTTATCTTGAAAATGTGGTTATTGTTATTCATGCCTCTTAGCATTACTCATAGGAGAGATCTCTGATCACAAAGTTCTCTACTGGTTAGTTCACTAACTAGTTTATAATAAAGCAGGTTTTCTTGTTGTTTTGGCCATGCCACAAGCAGGATCTTAGTTCCCCAACCAGCGATGGAACAAGTGCCCCCTGCAATGGACTTGCAGAGTCCTAACCTCTGGCCCGCCAGGGAGGTCCTAAAATAACAGATTTTAACCCATGTATGTAGTTCAGTTCAGTTGCTCAGTCATGTCCGACTCTTTGCGACCCCATGGACTGCAGCACACCAGGCCTCCCTGTCTATCACCAATTCCTGGAGTTTACTCAAACTCATGTCCATCGAGTTGGTGATGCCATCCAACTATCTCATCCTGTTGTCCCCTTCTCCTCCCC